AACTGGCCTAACCAATGTCCTGTACAGCCACAACATGACCCTCCCAAATCCTATACTCAATGCACTGGCCAATAAAGGCAAACGTACCAAACACCTTCTTCACCGCCCTGTCTACCTGCGACTCCACTTTCAGGCACCACTCCCCAGGGCATGCTTGATCATTGTGTCACCAAATTCCTCCTTCTTTCCCTAGCCAGCTCTGCTCTAGTTCTCCAAGCCCTGGATAATCCTTTTGTCTTGGAGCTGGAAAGTTGTGGATGCAAAATCCTATTTTGTGGAGCTAAAACCAAAATCCCAGCTGTTGCTCCTGAGTCAGGTCCAACAGCGTCCTGCGCCGGATCAGACATTAAGCAGGAACATGAAAGGTCCTTTGACCTACCACTGAAAGAGAAGAGATGTTGGCTTCCCAGCCAATAGTTAATTTTAAACTGTTGCCTGACAGGGAAAATAGCAACCAATTTTCCTGTAGCAAGCTCCTGCAACAAAGCAATGTGATATCCTATAGATGGTCAGATATTTTCTTTAGTCAGTTCGGTCATAGAGTCATACAGCACAGAAACAGACCCTTTAGTCCAACCGGTCCATGCTAACCATAATCCCAAACTAAACTAGTCCCACCTGCCTGCTCCTGGCCCATATCCATCCAAACCTTTCCAATTCATGTACTTATCCAAATGTCTTTTAAACAGTGTAACTGTACCCACATCCACCACTTCCTCAGGAAGTTCACTCCACACAAGAACCACTCTCTGTGTAAAAAAATTGCCCCTCATGTCTTTTTTAAATCTTTCTCCTCTCCCCTTAAAAATATGCCCCCTAGTCTCAAAATCCTCCACCCTAGGGAAAAGACACCTGCCATTTTATACCCGTCAAAATTTTATAAACCTCGATAAGATCTCACCCTTCAACGTCCTACACTCCAGTGAAAAGAAATACAGGCCTATCCAGCCTACCGTTATATCTTAAACCCTCCATTCCTGCTAATATCCTGGTAAATTTTTTCTGAACCGTCTCCAGTTCAACAGTATCCTTCCTTTAACAGGGTGGCCAGAACTGGACACAGTATTCCAAAAGAGGCTTCACCAATTTGTACAACCTCAACATGATGTCCCAACTCAAAAATCTGAGCAATGAAGGCAAGCGTGCTAAATGCCTTCTTAACCCCCCCCCGTCTACTTGTGACCCAAACTTCAAAGAATTATGTATCTGCACCCCTAGGCCTCTCTGTTCTACTGCACGACCCAGAGCCCTATCATTAATTCTATAAGTTAAAGGGTAAATATTAATGCAAGGACACTCTTCTTCAGGTACTAACATGTGCCAACTTTTCCTTAATCTAGAAAGGGCGGAGAACGTGGGGAAATATAGGCCGGTATGTCATTGGGAAGGTGTTAAAATCTGTACTTAACAATAAAGTAGTGGGACGTTTAGCAAACTGTAACACCATTAAGCAAAATTAACAGTTTTGTGAATGGAGAACAGTATGTGATGCATTGATTAGTGTTCTTTGGGGGTAGATAAAGGAAAACCAGTCGATGTAATGTATTTAGAGTTCCAAAAGGCATTCTAGAAAAGGAGACTGAAAGAGGTAAGGGTCGGGATGAGGGCTTGATACTTTAGCATGGGCAAAGAGTATCAGGGAAGAGGGAGTCAGAAATTCTTTCCTCTCAGAAGGCTGTGAGCTTCTGAAATTCCCCTTCCTCCTAACGTAGTGAATGCAGAATCATTAAGAATTTTTAGATTGAATCTTAACTACCAAGGGGGTGAAAGATTGTCAGCTGGGTATCACAGGAATATTGAAATGAGGTTAAATTACATCAGGCTTCAAGGGCCTACTGTTGTTCCCTATTGGTTCGTTTGTATAAATGGATAATTTTCAGGTTAATAAAATATAAGCTTTGGAGTGCTGTTGGGGACCAGCACTAGGCCCTTAATTATTTCCGGTCTATATTAGTGACTTGGCTAGAGAGCATATTGTTACATTTGAAAAACAACACAAGTTCTAACGAAGATGCAAAGAGGTCTGCATTATTGTTACGAAGTTGGGTAGAGTATTCATGAATTGGAAGGCAGGAAGTTAGAATTTGTTGGTAAAAAATGATAGTGGGTTCAAGAGTGCCGTGATCCCTTTAAGAGCTTGCGCTTTGTCTGTGCTTGGAAGTTTATAAATGCAGGTACACCCAAATGGAAGCATTTTGTGTAGAACTGCCAAGCAGCATATTTTCCCAAGACAACCAGTTTTGAATTTGGCCAATTAATTGAAACCAAGCACCTCGATACAGAAAGCCAATTGAATTTAAATCTGATGGTGTTTACAACCTGAAACCAATCATATTGGAAGAATTTGATTATGTCATTCTGGGTATATAAGACCAGGGCATTTGGAAAATCAGGGAGAGCCATATGCTACCTCCCCAGAGTCAGCACCGTTCAGCTCTCACTAACTAAATGCACCATGGCATTTTAGCTCAAAGTCCTCATTGAAGATATTATGGAGATAAAATATCCCTGACAGCAGAATTAGTGGAAGAAAGGCGTTTGTGAAGAGGGCGGAGAATATTCCAGAAGACAGTCTGTGCGAACTTGGAGGGGATTAAGTTATAATTCATTGTTCTGTTATTAATGGGGTTTATTAAGTGGGACTTACATTTATCTGAACAGCATTCCAGTAGAATTTAGAACAGTTAGGATGTAGTTAGTAGTCTAAGGGGGAATTATCGGTTTGTTAGTAATTTTGTTCATTTGTTCATTGTTCACTTAAATAGGCACAGTGGCTCAGTGGTTAGCACTGCTGCCTCACAGCGCGAGGAACCCAGGTTTGAACTCACCCTCGGGCGATCGTCTGTGTAGGTTTCCTCCGAGTGTTTCCACAGTCCAAAGATGTGCAGGTTATGGTGGATTGGCCGTGCTAAGTTGTCGCGTAGTGCCCAGGGATGTGCAGCTAATGGTGTTGGCCGTGCTAAATTGTCCCTTAGTGCCCAGGGATGTGCGGGTTAGGGTGGATTGGCCGTGCTAAATTGTCCCGTAGTGCCCAGGGATGTGCGGGTTAGGGTGGATTGGCCGTGCTAAATTGTCCCGTAGTGCCCAGGGATGTGCAGGTTAGGGTGGGTTGGCCGTGCTAAATTGTCCCGTAGTGCCCAGGGATGTGCAGGTTAGGGTGGATTGGCCGTGCTAAATTGTCCTGTAGTGTCCAGGGATGTACAGACTAGGTCGGTTAGCCATGGGAAATGCAGGGTTACGAGGATAGGGTAGGTGTGTGGGTCTGGCTGGGATGCTGTTTACAGGATCCATGTAGACTCAATGGGCTGAATCACCTGCTTCCAAATTGTCGGGATTCTATGGTTCTATGAAGGATTTTGAAAGAGGATCAAGGGAGTTCTAAGGGTGGTGAGAGGGGAGAGATTTAAAAGGGACCTGAGGGGCAACTTTTTCATGCAGAGGGTGGTGCGTGTATGCAATGAGCTGCCACAGGAAGTGGTGGAGGCTGGTACAATTACAACATTTAAAAGGCATCTGGCTAGGGACATGAATAGGAAGGGTTTAGAGGGATATGGGCCAAATGCAGCCAAATGGGACTAGTTCAGTTGAGGGTGTGTGGATGGCATGGACGAGTTGGGCCGAGAGGTCTGTTCCCTTGCTGTGTGAGACTCCCAACCCTCTGAGAGAAGAAATTCCTCCTCATCTCAGTCTTTAAATTTATCCTGAGACTATGCCTTCTGGTCCTCGACTCTCCCATGAGGGGGATAAAACGTCCTCTCAGCATTGACCCTTAAGAATCCTCAATGAGATCACCTCTTGTAAACTCCGGTGAGAGTCACAACCTGTTTTCGCTTTTGCTCCAAGGAAAGCCAGATTCAATCGCTCTCCCTGTTCTTCAATTCCCAGGTCAGGATGTCAAGATTCCTTCCTTTGATGTTCACTCACTGTTTCCCAAACAGTTGGATGACTACCTCACGTACAACGGTTCACTGACCACCCCACCTTGCTTCCAGTCTGTCCAATGGATCCTCTTCCATCAGCGAGTACAGCTCTCCCAGTCCCAGGTACTGATCAGCCATTGGCGATGGCCCCCGTGGGGCCAAGTCTCTCGATTGCAAAGGGAGTCACGTCTGCGGTGATTCGGGAGTGTTTGGACCCAGTTCTCCTCCCCAAGGCTGTATTGGGGAGCCGGAAATATCTCCTCAACAGAAGAGGCGGAAAATCTCAACTGGAGTCCATAGGCTGACTGATGTCTAATGGCAGTGGGCGAATAATGGTAGCGTCCCCAGGCTAAGGGGAGGGGAAGGCCATGGCCTAGTGGTAGTATCACCAGACATGTAATCTAGAGAGAAAAACAGAAATCGCTGGAAACGCTCAGCAGGTCTGGCCGCGTCTGTGGAGAGAAATCAGAGTTAACGTTTCGGGTCCTTCCTCAGGACTGATGGGATTTTATCGCAGAAGATAGGGAGGGGGCCAAGAAGTAAACATTAGAGGCCACAAAAGAGAGAGAAGAACAGCTGGACAGCCAGAGGATTGGGTAATGAACAGTGAGGGAGGGTGAGTAGCTGTTAACGGGCACTGTTATTGGCTAACATCAAGTTGTGTCTAATAGCAGGCCATGTGTGTTGGGGTCAGGGTTCGGGGTAAGGACACGGGAGAAGGCGCCTCGAGCCCTAAAATTGTTGAACTCGATATTGAGACCAGAAGGCTGTAGAGTTCCCAAGCACAAAACGAGGCGTTCTTCCAGCTTGGACTGTAGCAAGCCTGAGACAGAGATGTTGGCCAGGGAGCCAAGGTGGTGTGTTGAAGTGGCAGGCAAATGGAAGCACGGGGGTCACTTTATTTTTTTGTTTTACAGACAGAACGTAGGTGTTCTGCGAAGTGGTCACCCAGTCCTTTCCCATAATGCCCCACAGACCAGGTATTGCTATCACATGGTCTGCTATTGTGCATCCCACGTCAATCCCATCTGGTTCACTAATGTCCTTGAGGCAAGGACACTGTCAGCCTCTCCTGGTCTGGTCTACACGTGACTCCAGACCCAAAGCAAAGTGGTTGGCTCTTAACGCTTAAGGGAGGGGCAACAAATGCTGACCCATGCCACATTCCCATGAATGGATTAAAACGAAAACACCCTTCTGGCAACAAGGGTTCAAATCCTGCCAGGGTCTGCCGATGGAATTTAAATTCACCGAATCGAATTTAGTCTTTTCTTTTTATTTATTCATTGGCGGGATTTGGGTATCACTGGCTTACCTGGCATTTATTGCCCAGAGGGCAGTGAAGAGTCAACAACGCATTGCAGTGGGCCTGGAATCACATATAGGCCCAGACCAGGTAAGGATGGCAGTTTCCTTCCCTAAAGGACCAGATTGGGCTTTTCCCCTGACAATCGCCAATAGTTTCAGGGTCAACATCAGACTATTAATTCCAGATTTCTTTTATTGAATTCAAATTCCGCCATCTGCCATAGCGGGATTCAAACCCGGGTCCCCGGGACATTCCCTGGGTTTCTGGATTAACATTCCCACTGATAATACCACCAGGCCACCGTCTTCCCACTGGAATTGGTTTGCGTGCCAACCATCATTGTTTATCGTTAAGAAGGAGATCCACGGGTAGGGGGGGTGGGTCGGTCATGGGGGAAGGAAGTCTACCATCCTTACCCCCTGGGTCTGGGCCTACACACAGCATCTTATCTGTCCTTTGAAGAGACCTTTGGGTCAGTGGGTGAAGGAGCGACAATGCCAGGCTCACCAGCGATGCCCACCTCCCGTGAAAGAGTTGGACAACTGACTGGAGAACATTCCTTTCTCGAACCCAAGCGGGAGGAACAAGCTATGAAGGTTGGGTGGGAGGGTGGGGAGTTGTTGCGGGGAGGGTCGCTTTAAGCTTCGCTGAGAAGTGAGATAATGTCTCGCCCTTAACAAGCCACTGACTGACCCAGAGGGGGCTCCGGGGTCTTTAATGGCTGTAAACAGCCCCGGAACCAGGCGCTATAGAAATTCAACCCTGTGTCTTCTCTCCTTCCCACAGTTTGCAGCCTTTAAGACCAAATTGTTCAGAACGGGACCCGACGCCGTCCTGAAGCAACCCTTGGTTAACAATTTCCGAATAGCTCAGCCCCTCAATGACAGAAAGATCCGAGCTTCCTTCTCAATGGGTGAGTGGTGAATGATCCAGTGGATTACTGATTGGCTCATTGGCTGTGAATTAGCGGGCGGCGCTCTGTCCTGGCAGGTCGTATCACCCGAATTCAAGCACGACCCCGGAGATTTCGGAATCTCATCCAGGCTCTTGCGCCCAGCCTCAGCGCTGAGGGAGTGGGCACTGTCGGAGGGTCAGCGCCGAGGGAGGGGGCACTGTCGGAGGGTCAGCGCCGAGGGAGGGGGCACTGTCGGACAGTCAGTGCTGAGGGAAGGAGCACTATCAGAGGGTCAGTGCTGAGGGAGCAGATGCTGTCGGAGGGTCAGCGCTGAGGGAGCAGGCACTGTCGGAGGGTCAGTGCTGAGGGAGTGGGCACTGTCAGAGGGTCAGTGCTGAGGGAGCAGGCACTGTCAGAGGGTCAGCGCTGAGGGAGCAGGTACTGTCAGAGGGTCAGTGCTGAGGGAGCAGGCACTGTCAGAGGGTCAGTGCTGAGGGAGCAGATGCTGTCAGAGGGTCAGTGCTGAGGGAGCAGATGCTGTCGGATTGTCGGCGCTGAGGGAGCGGGCGCTGTCGGAGGGTCGGCACTGAGGGAGCGGGCGCTGTCGGAGGGTTGGCGCTGAGGGAGCGGGCGCTGTTGGAGGGTCAGCGCTGAGGGAGTGCTGCAGAGTTGCACACAGTATTCCAAAAGTGGCCTAACCAGTGTCCTGTACAGCCGCAACATGGCCTCCCAACGCAGTGCACTTACCAAGAAAGGGAAGCTTCTAGAATACTGCACATAACTCTACATCGTCCTGCTATACGAAGGATGTTGTGAAACCTGAAAGTGTGCAGAAAAGATTGGCAAGGATTTTGGAGGTTTTGAGCTACAGGGAGAGGCTGAATAGACTTGGGCTATTTTCCCTGGAGCGTTGGAGGCTGAGGGGGTGACCTTATAGAGGTTTATAAAATCATGAGAGGCATGGATAGGGTGACTAGAACAAAAGAACAAAGAAAATTACAGCACAGGAACAGACCCTTCGGCCCTCCAAACCTGCGCCGATCCAGATCCTCTATCTAAACCTGTCGCCTATTTTCCAAGGATCTGTATCCCTCTGCTCCCTGCCCATTCATGTATCTGTCTAGATACATCTTAAATGATGCTATCGTGCCTGTCTCTACCACCTCCGCTGGCAACGTGTTCCAGGCACCCACCACCCTCTGCGTAAAGAACTTTCCACGCATATCTCCCTTAAACTTTTCCCCTCTCACCTTGAAATCGTGACCCCTAGTAATTGAGTCCCCCACTCTGGGGAAAAGTTTCTTGCTATCCACCCTGTCTATATCTCTCATGATTTTGTAGACCTCAATCAGGTCCCCCCTCAACCTCCGTCTTTCTAATGTAAATAATTCCTAATCTACTCAACCTCTCTTCATAGCTAGTGCCCTCCATACCAGGCAACATCCTGGTGAACCTCCTCTGCACCCTCTCCAAAGCATCCACATCCTTTTGGTAATGTGGTGACCAGAACTGTACGCAGTATTCCAAATGTGGTCGAACCAAAGTCCTATACAACTGTAACATGACCTGCTAACTCTTGTACTCAACACCCCGTCTGATGAATGAAAGCATGCCGTATGCCTTCTTGACCACTCTATCGACTTGCATTGCCACCTTCAGGGTACAATGGACCTGAACACCCAGATCTCTCTGTGCATCAATTTTCCCCAGGGCTCTTCCATTTACCTTATAGTTCGCTCTTGAATTGGATCTTCCAAAATGCATCACCTCGCATTTGCCTGGATTGAACTCCATCTGCCATTTCTCCGCCCAACTCTCCAATCTATCTATATTCTGCTGCATTCTCAGACAGTCCCCTTCACTATCTGCTACTCCACCAATCTTAGTGTCATCTGCAAACTTGCTAATCAGACCATCTATACTTTCCCCCAGATCATTTATGTATATCACAAACAACAGTGGCCCCAACACGGATCCCTGTGGAACACCACTGGTCACAGTTCTCCATTTTGAGAAACTCCCTTCCACTACAACGCTCTGTCTCCTGTTGCCCAGCCAGTTCTCTATCCATCTAGCTAGTACACCCTGGACCCCATGCGACTTCACTTTCTCCATCAGCCTACCATGGGGAACCTTATCAAACGCCTTACTGAAGTCCATGTGTATGACATCTACAGCCCTTCCCTCATCTATCAACTTTGGCACTTCCTCAAAGAATTCTATCAAGTTGGTAGGACATGACCTTCCCTGCACAAAACCATGCTGCCTATCACTAATAAGCCCATTTTCTTCCAAATGTAAATAGATCCTATCCCTCAGTATCTTCTCCAGCAGCTTCCCCACACTGATGTCAGGCTCACCGGTCTGTAATTTCCTGGATTATCCTTGCTACCCTTCTTAAACAAGGGGACAACATTAACAATTCTCCAGTCCTCCAGGACCTCACCCATGCTCAAGGGGCTTTCTACCCAGGGTAGGGGAGTCCAAAACTAGAGGGGCATAGGTTTAAGGTGAGAGGGGAGAGATTTAAAAGGGACCTCTGGGCAACTTTTTCACACACACAGAGGGTGTATGGATTGAGCTGCCAGAGGAAGTTATTTTTTAAATTCATAAACGGGATGTGGCATCGCTGGCCAGGCAGCATTTATTGTCCATCTCTAATTGCCCAGAGGGCAGTTAAGAGTCAACCACGTTGCGTGAGTCCAGAGTCACATGTAGGCCAGACCAGGTAACGATGGCAGTTTCCTTCATAAAGGGCATTAGTGAACCAGATGGGGTTTTCCAACAATTGACAATGGATTCATGGTCATCATTAGACTCTTCATTCCAGATATTTATTGAATTCAAATTCCACCATCTGCCATGGCAGGATTCAAATCTGGGTCTGTGCATTAACAGTCCAACAATAATACTACTAGGCCATGCCTTCCCCTA